CTGTCTGTGTTATTTTTTGATTTTCCACTTTGATATGAAATGTAAAGTGGACAAAATGGGAACAGTTAAAATTTTTGGCCTAACACCGACTAAAAGGGATTTTTTTACTGTGACAGGAGTTTCGTTTTATCACTTTCAGTTAAATGGATCGAAATTAAGTTCGGTACCCTGATCAATTACAAATTTAACAACAAACGCCTTAGATGACTCATCTAAAACAAACTGTTATGGTTTTTTCGCCTAATGTCCGCCTGAATGCACACTGTGCAGTTCGGTCCGGTCGTCACATGGTCGCCGGCCGGTACCGGTCATGATTTTGTTGACTGGTTACGTCTCTGCTCTTGAGGTGAAACTTTTATAGAATTTCGATTTGATTGAGGAGTAGTAGTAGTGGTGCTGATAGTTTTCGAGTCGTCATCTCTTAACATTCATGATGTCGTCCAAAATTATACAAGCCAAAATCCTGTCACATATTCCGCTGTTTATTAACGAATGTTTTAGACAAAAACATTTATAGTTTTTCGACCATGTGGAATTAGATGCGCATGTCCCTCGCTCCTATTTCTATCTACATAAACATTAATTATTGAAAACTATGAGTCTAGGACCTACGAAAAACTTGCTAAAAGACTTTGAAAATGTTGTTTTATCTTTGTTGGACATAATGAAAAACAGTGGAGGTGGTGGAGAAAACTTTAGGCAATCACGTCGTGAGTTACTCTGAAACTTGATATTTTTGTCTTTGAATGTTTCCACATGGAATATTTGAAAAGAAAAGGAAATCAACTAGAAATAGATTTTACATATTGCAGATATAAATTTAAAAAAATATGACAAAATTTGTACATTTATCAAACGATATTTATTTACATCTCTTCAAATATTTTGAATTGGCAGACATATTTTCTATATTTTATGATATTAATATTAATATAAATTCAGTTATAAATGAAAATCTCGTAAGTTATGATTTATCAATAGTTTCTAGACAGAAATTCAATTATTACATTCGACACTTGTCTAGTAATCCACAGTATATCTATTCATTAACAATATCCAATGAATTTCACAATGATCTAATACAATTATGTCTCAATCAATTTGAAATTAAAAATTGTACACATCTTCATTCATTGACAATTAATGAGCCAACATTCATACAAAGTAAAACAATTATAAGAAATTTACCATATCTTAAACAGTTAGCTTACTTGTCAATTTATTCGAAGAAATATGATGATTATGACGATGAAAAATTATTGGATTGTGTTAATTTAATACTCAATAGTAGAAATTATTCATTGAAACATATCATAGTACCATATATTGGTTCAATGGACAACATTTTTACAACAGCAATTGTTGAAGATTTAACAATTGGTTTGTACAATTTGGATCAATTACGCAAATTATTTTATCATATTCCTCATATCAAACGTTTAAATGTGACTATAGTTAAACATCGTAATTCTTTTTGGACAGATCAAGATTTACTGCTTATACCAGAATCTAATCTATGGACAGTTCCTGATTTAATCTATTTAAAACTCACAGTAGAGAACAATAAGAGTATTACATTTGAACAAATAGATTTTCTTTTGAAAAGATTACCCAGTCTTGAACACTTTTTGTTTGGTTGCCATGATCAAAAACTTATAAATGGAAAACAATGGGAACAAATTCTTTCATCGTTAGTCTCATTAACAAATTTTGATTTTTATTGTCGATTTCCTTTAGAGAACGACAATTATGATATCAAAAAATTACTATTTTCATTTGAAACAAAATTTTGTGTTGAATTCAATTGCTTAAGACTGCCCTGTAATTCAGTTATTATTTTTACTAAATCTTATCCGCAATCTCACTTAGAAATAACCTGGAATCAATTACAAAAAGATTTGACACAAGAAAACTCAAACGCCCCACTACTTCTTGATGCATTTCAACTGAATATTAATAGTATATCACCATCATTAGAATATTATAAGTTTCAATACTATCTTTGTCAGACAATTTCTACATCAAATGTAAAACAGTTATATTTGTATTGTTCTAATACCTGCAAAATATCGAAAATATTTCTATTAAATTTATTATCAATGTATAATATTCAAACGTTAACTTTGTCATTGCCACAATTAATGACAACGGTATTTACTAGTGCTCGTACACATTCACGCTGTTATATAAATAGTGTTCATTATTTAACATGGAAGCATAAACATCCTATTACGGAACACAATATTCACGATTTCTTAGCTTCATTTCAAAATGTTAAATCGGTCACTCTACATCTAGAAAAATTGAACAATGTTCAGTTTAACATTGCTAAATTATTAAGCGAGAAACCGCATATTATCTTTTTCAATATTCATTGGAATTATGAGAATGATTGGAATTTATGGTTGGAAAATCAACTTCACTTTGATCAATTATTTTATGAAAAGACGAATAATTCGATATGTATTTGGACATGAGTTTACCAGTAAGATAATGAGAACGGCTCCGAGAACATCTTACGAGGGAACATTCATAGGTGTCATCTCCCGTTTTAACTCATTTATATCTCACTCGATAGAGTATGTCGAGATAGTAAAAAGCCTAAAAGAATTTTTCCCCATGCCTCTTGAAGACCCGGTTTTCAGGAAAATCAGTTTTTCCGAAACTCTGAAAATAACCAAAACCTTCTTAATGAGACATGACTGTAGTCCGCAATTTCTGATTAAAATGAGGCATCTACCAGCTCTACATGACCTTTTCTTTGCAAAGTTATAGAATTTACACGAAAAGCCAATAACTGTTAATTGTCAGCTCAAAGCTACAGAAATCAGAAGAAATTAATTTAGGGCTTTTCTTGTAAATTCTATAACTTTGGAAAGAAAGATCGTGTAGAGCTGGGAGATGCCTCATTTTAATCAGAAATTTGCAATTACAGTTATGTCTCATTAAGAAAAGTTTTGATTATTTTTCAGAGTTTCTGAAAAACTGATTTTCCTGAAAACCGGGTCTTCAAGAATCATGGGAAAAAATTCTTTTAGACTTCTTATTATCTCGACATACTCTATCGAGTGAGATATGAATGAGCCAAAACGGGAGATGACACCTGGAAATATTCTCTCGTAACCGTACACAGCCAACACAAGAGAGTGATATCTGACTCTTTTCAGATTATTTTGCAGAGGTGTGTTCAGATCGATTAGTGATTAAGCGTGTAGATTGTTAAAGTTACTACAAAAAAAAAAATAAAAAGCTCAACTAAAAATTAACAACGCTTACATCACAACAACAGCCCTAAAAACTTAGGATAAATATTGGACAAAATTTCGTGATGGTCGTTGGCTCGTATAATCACATTCACAATGCACGGTAATTTTCTGACTTGCGCATAGTTTGAACTTCAAAACAGTAGAAGTGGTTTTAGTAGGCTGTTAATTGACTCTGGTTATAGTCTAAAAAGTTATAGACTCTACTTATAGTTAAAGTAAATCATTCAGAACATTTTATCTAAGGCACATGGGGACAAATCGTTTTGGACATTTTCATACAACCATGAACTCTATCGATCGGCAAAAGATGAGTGAGAACGGCTTAATCATTTGGGAATGTTCCCTTATTAGTTTATGCTAGCTTCTTTCGATTATCAAAGTGCTGCTCAGTACAGGAATCTGTTTTGTCAATGTTTCGATGGATTTAAAACTCAGTCGAAAATTACCGATGTAAAGTTTTATTTAAACCAAACTTTATTTCATCAAACATATGAGACGCAGAAAAAAAAGCACATGGTTGACAGGAAAGTAGGAAAAGTCAAAAACTTATAATTAATAACCCTACTACCCTGTATTGAGTAGAAAAAAACTAGAATAAATGAAAAAACAAACAAATCATCACATGATGACCCTTTAAGCACAAAATACAGTTCAACGCCTATGGCAAGAATTTTGAGTCAGGTTTGAACAATGGAATATTGCAAAATAAAATCAACAAACAACTGTAACATTTTTACGTATTCAAATGTGATCTCAGCAATCTTTTAAATCCATTTACTGTAAGACAACTGACTACATTCTCCGGTAAACTGTTCCAGTCTATTGCAGTCTTACGAAAAATGAAGATGCAACTCGGTCCTTTGTTGCAGTGATAGTTTTTACTTGCTGCGTATTATTTCTGTCTGACGAGGGAACATTCCCAGGTGCTACGCTTCGATTTCGTTCGTTCATACATCATTCGATAGGGGGTTTCGAGTAGGTAAACAGCCTAAAAGGATATCGGCCGATGACCCTTGAAGACCCGGTTTTCTGGAAAATCAGTTTTCCAGAAACCCTAACAGAATAACCCAAACCTTTATTAATGAGGCATGAGTGTAGCCCGCGAAATTCTCATAAAAATGAGACATCTCGCAGCTCTACATGACCTTTCTTTGCAAAGTTATCGAATTTACAAGAAAAGCCCTAAATTAATTTCTTCTGATTTCTGCAGCTTTGAGCTGACAATGAACATTTAGAGCTTTTCTTGCAAATTCTATAACTTTGCAAAGAAAGGTCATGTTGAGCTGGGAGATGTCTCATTTTTATGAGAATTTCGCGGGCAACAATCATGTCTCATTAACAAAGGTTTTGGTTATTCTGTTAGAGTTTTTGAAAACCGGGTCTTAAAGAGTCGTCAGTCGATATCCTTTTAGGCTTTTCATCTACTCGAGACCCCCTATCGAATGATGCATGAACGAACGAAATCGGAGTGGGGCACCTGGGAATGTTCCCTCGTGAGTTTAAACGACCTGATCGACGATACTCTGACGATTCAATATTCTACTAAGCACAGCTGTCGGTCACTACTTTCCATAACTTCTATATTTTCACAACAATGTAGGTAGAAAGAGCCAGAATACATGCAACC